GAGTTGACCTTGTTTTGATACAGACCTCACTGCTTTTGTCATGTAAATGCACCTAGTTAGCATCAGAACAACTTGTTTTACACAACAAAAGCAGTGAGCTCTGTATCAAAACAAGGTCAACTCTAGCCTCACTACGATACAAAGGTCAGGTCACTGAGCAGACAACTGTAAAATGGTCTATTAACATCGTGAAAATCTATGCTAATTAAGATCAGATATCCAAACACCGTCACGGCCATGATTTCCTTTATTTAAACTTAATGAATTATTAATGAGTTTGAGAAAGTAAGGTCAAGTCTGCATACAAGCCAGACCGGGGCTTATCCCGGTTTCTGTAGCACGAAGCGACTACGAGTTTTTCTATTCCCCTACCCCCCTGGATGGGATGCTAGTACATCGCAGGGTTACCCCCTGCATTAAGTTTGCCGGTACCCATTTATATACCTGGGTGGAGAGAGGCACTATAAGAGTAAAGAGTCCCCGGGCCCAGGGCTCGAACCTGGACAGCTCGATCCAGAGACGAGCGCTCTAACCATGAGGCCACGGCCCCTCCACATTTCTTGCAATACAGTCACAGAATAAAATTCGGCAAAACTATCACTTAGAGATAACTGTACATTTCACACCGTCTAAATCTATTTAACATCAATGTAAGCTAATTTAGGACTTCAAGGCGGTTTTATAATTGTGGTTATGATTATATTCAGTTTTAGATTATTTCATAGTTAATATTAGTATCTTGTTAAATAATTCTTGTCATAGTTGCTGCTTGCTGTTGTTATAATTAACATTAGCCCCTCTTTAAAGGAGCCACGTCACGGTTTGCGCAGCTTGTAAAGTTTTTCAAGTTCTTCCTTGGTAATCTTTGTTAATCTTCTCCATCCTTAGCCATCCTTGTTCCCCTATGGTTTACTATTTTATCTTTGCTATTTTTCTATCTTAGTAAACTATTATTTTCAGGTTTCCTTCAATTTAATAAGGACAATTTTGTACGTGACCAAAATAACTCAAAATATCATGAATGAGCTCCTTTAAAGAACCTGTAAAGGTGTATCAGCTTTTAAGGCAACCCTGTTATTTATAAATTGTCCTCGCGTCTTTTTTATGAGAATGTTTACCTTGTATTTGACGAGCGTGGTTTGACCCAACATGGTCAGGACCCAAGTAATGGCGATTCTTTGAGGATCGCACAGCAAAGCCCACGAGTCTGAACATTCCTCTTGAGAGAAGATACATATAGTGTCCATGGATATAGGGTCTGTGGGTAATAGCAGGTTTTCCCACGTCTTTAATACTATCTGTTGAGTCGTAACACAGAATACAATCAAATAATTCATTAGCAATATAAGGCTTTGTGGGTCCGCCCGTATAACAAAATTGTAAAAGGTGCCAGAAAATTTGGATAATTTTGAAGTTGAGGCCTTCAGAGGACCGCATTTCGAGATTAACACTACTGAAATACCGCAGGAAAAATTGTCCTATACCGCAAACTCCAATGTCCAGCTCTGACAGTCCTGACATTGTTTGAGATTTTATCAAGTGCTATTTTTGCATTTTCTTCTGGAAGGCCCCTCTGGTTATGGCAGACCACCTTCATTGGTGGAGTACAATCAGTTGCCATTTTTTCGTGTCTTTGACATTACAATCTTACCATTATAATGTTTCCAATTTCTATTCTTGCATTTTAATTTACTAGAAATAAGAGGCTTTGGGGGTTTTCTATGGAGCAGCAAACGCTCATCGAAAAAATTGTAAAAGTTGTTAAAAAGTCTTGATCATTTTGAAGCTCCACGTTATTTACATTACAATCTTAAAATAGTGTTCTCCATTTCTGTTCTTGCGTTTCACCACACTGTAAAATCAAGACTACAGTAGTTCAAGAAAACAAAAGTCGATTTACTTAACATCTCACACAAGAACCTTTCAGCATTTTCCTTTTCTCTTTAAAAGACGAAACCAGTCAATGAATCAACAAACCTTCCCCTTGAGGAATTCTGGAAGAGTAAGCCGATCGAAAAGATGTTGATGTTGAACTTTCAAACCATTATCTCTACACACTTGCATGAAGAATTTACCCATCCGTTTCCTGATAAAACAACAACGACAAAGGAATGAAATAAGAATAAAAGTGATTTTTAAATAGTAAGTGTTGCCAACTGTTTTGGACCCACTCAAGTTTCTAAAGTGTTTTCCAGTTCTACTTCTTTTGGAGGAAAAAACAAATATTCCTAACCTGAGTAATGGTTATTGGTTTTCAACGAATCATGGCGAGCACGTTTTATCCTGCTTATTACAGTAACTTGACAACGTCTTTAAGTTAGTTTGTCCAAACTTCAATCAGTCAAAGAATAAACAATCGCACTACCCTGGTTTCTGATTGGCTAAGAAAAAGAAAAACCAACAAAAACTAATCAAAGCGTGGTGAAAGAAAAACCTAGCAATAAGAGCGTATGTTTCTCCAGCGTTACATTTCCGAGCTGTAGTGATGCGTGACCCTTCACTTAATTTTTTTCTACATTAAGACACAAACCTTCTGTCGACTCCCATTGCTCCACAGTAGGTTAAAAATGCCGCTGCTGCGATACAGTTGGACAGCAGTATCTCGGACGAGGTGTATTCGTCAACATACGATTTCCACTCTCGCTCCATGTATTTCAGACTGTATGATAAAACAAAACAAATATTATATAGTGAAACAATTTCTAAGCAATCAATCGAGAAATCAAGAAACTACGCATTCACTTAATCTGAACGCTGGAACAGGGATGGCGCAGTGGTTCTCGCCTTGCTCCGAGGCTTTTTCAATGTCGTTTCCTCCGGGTTCTCCGGTTTTCTCCCTCCACAAAAACCAACATCTCCAAATTCCAATTCGACCAGGATAGAGGACCCACATCAAAACCAGATATGGCTGATGTGGCTTCCTCTCTAAATATCGTAAATTTAAGGGGTGCCACGTAACACAAACTTCACTGCTTCAGAAGAAAGCTAATGCGATTGCTGTCAAACAAACGACAGTTACCGCAGTGATTGTTATCGGTACACATCTACCTGTTCAGTAGACCCGTGGCAGCCTTCAGCCGCTCACTGCAAGACTTGACATCATTCCCCAGGTTATGTTTCACCACCACTGCGTCATCATACTCTTTTTGTAGCCTGGTTACTGCTTCCTGAAGGCCTGGCAAGTCGGACTCGGTCATTTCTACCTCTGGTTCTGGCGTGGAAACCTTCCAAAAAATAAATAAATAAATAAATAAGTAAATAAATAAATAAATAAATAAATAAATAAATAAATAAATAAACGAATATCAACACCATGACCCAGCAATCAGACCAAAATGTCAGCCAGACACAACAAAAGAATATTAGAGAGTTTCCCTTACTTTCTCCATTTCATGGTCCTTGGCCTGACTCTCTAACTCTGCTTGTTTCTCGTCCTCTTCACGTTCTTTCAGCAGTTCCTCGAGGTAGTCGCAGGCCTTTCTGTAGGGTTTGTAGAGTCTTGTGTACTCCACTAACGCCACCGCGTACTCCACAAGAACAGCAGCATCCTCGGACGAGTATTTGGCGGCACTGGTTGTAATTCCCTGAGGTCTCCGATCTGTCGGAATGAAACAGTAAGATTGGTCGAGGTGGCTTTTAGTTTTGTACTCAACTCAGCTATAGGCAAAGTCTGTATACGAGCCAAGTGGCGTATCAGGCTGATGCTTATCCCGGTTTGTGAAGCATGAAGCGACTAGGAGTATTTCTACTCCCCCCCGGATGGGATGCTAGTCCATCGTAGGGCTACCCCCCTCCCGGATGGGTCGCCAGTCCATGGCAGGGTTAATCCCGGCATTAAGTTCGCCAGTACCCATTTATACACCTGGGTAGAGAGAGGCGCTGTGAGAGTAAAGTGTCTTGCCCAAGAACACAACACAATATCCCCGGCGAGGACTCGAACCCGGACCGCTCGATCCGGAGGTGAGCGCACTAACCATGAGGCCACCGCGCCTCCACATTGGACTACTGGACTACTGGACAACAGGAGTACTAAAAGAGGTACTAGTATTACAGGCTCTTAAGATTCTAGTTGTTTAAAGGATGAATAACGTTGTCTACCAGATAACACACCATGTAGTGGATTGTGTAGTTTGTTTTGTTCAGTGAATTGTGTCGTCAACCCTTTGACCAACTGGGCCCTGATGATTTCTTTGCCGCAAGATCCAAAACGCATTAGAAAACACTGACTACAAACGCCTTCCACTTAGGATCTCGTGGAACGCTAATCAGCAAAATGGGCTATAATGCAGATACGTAACGTGATGCAGTTTGTTTTATATCTACCTAACGGCTATTTATCGAAGACCTTTTCGCTTCTATCACGAAAAAAAGATTAATCTCGGTCTTTCCAACTTCCATACATATTGAATAAACGATCTTTTCCTTAAAACTAGCCTAGTTTTAAAATTAACACAAAACGCAAACTGGACCTGAAACAATGGACGCTCGACCGGGAGAGGTCTGGTAAGTACTAGCACTTAGACCCGGGGCAGCAGTACCCAGGTCACTGTCATTAACATCGCCACCGTTAGAAGCAGCTAAAAAGGACTGGACACCCTTGAGGATGTCTTCAGACAGGCCTTCTTTCCATGAAATAGTATGCAATGATTCCACAAACTTCTGCGAGTCATTCATGACTTGCTGAATAGCTTTCCATGTTGGACGGTCAACTTTACCCTCTGCATTCACGCCTGTCAAAGTGAAAGAATGAACAACTCAATAAAACGGATTTATCTCTAAGAAATATAGGCTAATTAGTGCCTTTAATGAAAATCACGAAAGCAGCACTATCTATACTTACCCCAACTATTAAGAAATAGAAAACATGTACTGTGTTTCTAATAATGAATAGGGTGCTTAAAGTTATCTTGTAAACAAACATTTGTATATTGAAACTAAGGTAGTAATAAAGTACCGAGGAGTGGGGCCTGGATTCCTTTCTGGGAATACTCCTTAGTGCCAGGCCGTTTCTTGTGCGTTGCAGAACTCGTTCGAGATGCCTCATCAGACCCAGTCCCCAGAGAAGAGCTCTGATCTCCTTTCGGTCCATGCCTAGTCGGGGGTGGGTGAGTAGTTCCTGCTCCTCCGATTCCAGGGGCAAACTCCGGTCTTCCAAGTAGAACCATAACCATCACCATCACCATGCCTGCCATGGGTGGGGGACTCTGGAAGGCTCGGAGTCTCTCGCAAAGGGATCGGTCTACCCTATGCATCCAGTGACTAACCTAGAAGCAGTACACAAAGAAATCAACAATACCCTAACATACCAACATATTCTGACTATTAGCTTCTAGCAATGATAGTTTCGGAAGAAGGGAGAACTTATTGGTGGACGGAGAGCTTATTAAAGCAACGAGTTATTTACTTAGTTTTGGAAGGCATTTTTCGCCCAAAACGTGATAATAAGACAAGAGATTGACTACAGTTGTATTTCATTTATCGATCTTGTGGAAGTAGTCATGTCTTTCATTAAAAACAGTTAACACTGACTAAAATGTGTTCCGGTATTTCTATATATCTGAATCTCTTTTAAAATGTGTCAGATCTGAGGTATTGGAGAGCTACAAGCTTGAGGTGAAACTGTTAAAGAACATTGCTAATACGAGACGAACCTGTTCTTCAGATTTCTTCAGAGCTACTTTGGAGTCTTGTAAAGCGCCCTCTGCTAATTGAATCTCCTCCAAGACTTTCAAACGCCGACTCTTTATGTTGGAGTTTTTTAGCTTTTCAAACTCTTCATCCAACTCGTCTGTCTCATCATCCTGTGGTATACAATGCGGAGAAAGTAAGTCAGGTAAAAGTTGGTGCAAGGAAACTGTTTACTGAAAAAAAAAAATTAAAATAAACCGCATTCCACTGAGGAATTAAAGACTACAGAAATGAACAAACCTACTCACACAAAAAAAAACAAAGGGAACAGACGAACGCAGGAACAAATGAATGAAAAACGAACGAACGAACGCACAAACGAAATAACGAATAAACGAACGAACGCACGAAGGAACGCGTGAACGCGCCAACGTGTTACTAGCGACGAGACAAACCCCAAAATCAACACGAAATAACAAAAAACCCGTAACTAGGCCTTTCCCAACGTAACTCGCAGCTTATAAAATAAATTCTGTTGCACAGATCTTGCCTCAAAACAAATATTAACCTGCAACAAAGCTGTATCATCTTCTTCAATTTCACTGTCGATGAGCGCAATAAATGCACTTAAGGTGGCACTACCGATACCAAGTTTCGCCTTGAGTTTCTCCAGCGCTGTTGCTTTAGATGTAAGAGCTTCCAGTAGTTCATCTGACTTGACTGTAGCTACAGCTAGCTGCTGTTTGGTTTGAGAGATCACATCTTTAATCACCACTGCATCTTCTCGAGTTTGCTCCAGGGTGGCTAGCGCCCGGCTAACAAAGGTAAAGAAAAAACGTTAACTGCCTGCCTCGTCAAGAGGAAACTACAGGGTTCTCATTCTGCTTTGTGGCATTTAATCAAGGACGTTTACAGGGTCTTAATGAACGTAAATCCGACTTTAAAGAACCCATTATTACAAGAAATGTGTAAAAAATGATTGCACACGAAATTTAACAATTTGACGACTGATTATTACAATGATGAGATATTTCAACTTTAAAATTCACTTTTAAACCAAAATTAAGTTTTAAAGGCTGGAATTAGTTGTAATGACCTCAATTTAGGATGCGCGATCGCAGAAGAAAAGAGCAAAACTAACAACTTAAGCCGGGCATAAACTTAAACTGAGCTAGGCCTGCAATAAGATACCCTCAACTTGGACACGATCAAAACGTACTTTGAAACTTGAGGGAAACCTGGAATAATTGTCTACCGATGCAGTAAAATTGCCAGCAAAAACATAGTTACGAAATATCACTTATAAGAAATAGCGGATAGTATGGATTAGGAAAGACAGTTCTCAAACTCATTAATAATTCATCAAGTTTAAACAAAGGAAATCATGACCGTGACGGTGTTTGGATAATTATCTGATCTTAATTACCATAGATTTTATTTTATTTCTCCGTTTTCTCCTTACTTTTAGTTTCGATTGACAAGATATATCAAACACTCAAGAAAGTGTTTGACCACATTTTCAAAGGTTCGTCAAAAATACTCCGCTACGCGTCGTGTTATCCACTCTCTTCTCGGTGAGAAGAAATGTGGTCAAACACGGTCTATCGTGTTTGAAATAATACAAACAGACTTTCAAACAACTGCTAGGAGTTTCCGTCTCGAACGTACACCGATCCTTACAGTTTACCGAATTACCCTCATTGAAAACTCCCAACAGTGGCCACTTTTGTACAATCCAGATTGGACGTTGTAATGAGCTTCAACTTGATTTCCTCTTGGATGATAACGCGAATCAACTTACGTGAGTCTATCAACCCTCTCAATTGCCTCCTTCCTCTTGTCTCTAAAAATGTGTCTAAAGCAGTGCATGAACTGTATGTACGTGGTAGGGCCAACAAACACGCCCCCAGTTACACTGGCTCCGCCATTGCGTTGATGCTTCAAGCTGATCTTCTCCAGTAGTATTGAGAGTGAGCGCGGTTCACTTGCACCGGGATCCTCAGGCGGTGACTCGGCTCTACTCGACAGATGGTCATCCCCAGCCCAGGGAATCTGGTGACACTCTCGTAACACGTGACCGTGTATCGTGGATAATGACGCCACTACCTTATCTCTATAAGAGTAAATTGAAAACGAAAGTGTTGACTTGCCTAAAATTACCGCAAAGTAGACCTTTGTCTAATAGCTTATGTGCTGTAGTGTAGACACACAAATGTAATACAAACTATTAAGAAAACATCGCCAGTAAAGCTATTTTGAATAAGACAAACAAAAAACACAAGTACAGCTTCTCATCAAATAGTAACATAAACTCTCTTGAAGTTTCCTGACATTTCCAGTTGTTCAATACTTCACATCCACTGTTAATGGAAGGTTAACCAAACAAACAAGACCATAGTAATAGCGGTAAATTTACCTTGTTTGTTCGGTGATATCACCGAGCACTTTGTGCCTCTCAAGGTAGTGGCTAGCCTCTCCTTCCAGTGCGTACTGAGGCCAGTCCTTGACAAAATCCATCTGACAGCCATACAGGATCCCAGGGTAACAACTACAGAAAACAACATCAAAGACATATCATGTAACCTCGGTTCTGAGGTAGGACGATAGATTATTAAAATATCACTGTGTAGTTCAGTTTGCGATGCCTTTCCTCGTTCTGTAGCTTGCATGGTAGGTTTGTTAAACTTGTTTTCCTTTCGAACCAATCTAATTGTTTTTTTTTNTTACCTTGTTTGTTCGGTGATATCACCGAGCACTTTGTGCCTCTCAAGGTAGTGACTAGCCTCTCCTTCCAGTGCGTACTGAGGCCAGTCCTTGACAAAATCCATCTGACAGCCATACAGAATCCCAGGGTAACAACTACAAAAAACAACATCAAAGACATATCACGTAACCTCGGTTCTGAGGCAGGACGATAGATTATTAAAATATCATAATGCAGTTCAGTTTGCGATGCCTTTCCTTGTTCTGTAGCTTGCATGGTAGGTTTGTCAAACTTGGTTTCCTTTCGAACTAATCTAACGGTTTTTTTCTTAAATGGTGTTTCGATCGCGCTATATTCGAACTTGATTCCTGAATTGAGTGTGGCAAAAGCAGCAATGTACTATCACTAAATATATGAACGAAGACCTTTATTTGAATGTCAAGACTAAAATACTAGTAAAGAAAAAAATGCTTAATGGGAACACTATAAAATAAATCACTCAAAAATTCA